GAGTATGATACCGTTATATAACATACTGGCCTATATGGTATAGCTAGCCGCAAGTAATCCTATTGCACTCTCTTTCACACAACTGATTTTTTTTTTTTTTTTTCTTTTGGGAGCCTAATTGTTAAGCTAGAATAACTTATTAGTTGCAATAGAAAATAGTACCACTGTAAACACAATGTAAACAAATATGTTTAAATAGGTAGTGTGGCATTCGAACCTGCAGGCTTTCGCGTAGACTGGGTTCCAGTCCCTAAACTTTGTCTTAATCAGTGAAAATGCTTAAAAATAAATCGATTTTGGCACCATTGGCGTTCCATATTGCTTATTTGCACGGCGTTCAATAGTATACTTTTTCTGGGATTTCGCATCAAAAAGTTTCTCACAAATATAATAAAATAATAACTTGAATAAAATAATGACTTGTGGAAAGTCTAACTTTCGCGATTTTCCCCCTAAAACTAAAAAGGAACTTTTTATTGTTTTTCTAAAGACATAATAGATTCCACTCATACCCTTGATCACAAACGCTGACTCACTTTTCGCCTTTACGAAATCTACAACTTTACCTTTGTTTGATAGTTACTTAAACTGATGAATAAAAAACCAACTAGGATCACGTTGTCTTTTCAGTTTATTTACACAATATTGATAAGAGGTATAACATCGCAGATCGCCAAAATCGCTGCTACCGTGTATGGCGCCGCCAACGTTACTCTAATTGTGGTTTTTGTAAGATCTCGGGATTTTTTTTAGGCCTAACTGAATCAGCATACATTTTACTTACAAAGTACAGTCAGCTTGATGTAAGACGGAAAAATTACGAAACAACATGCTATAATCATATAGATAATATTTACTTTATACAATAATATACTTATGTATACACGTTGCTTTATCCTGCGTAACGTATGTTCGCCAAAAACTGTAGACCAAAACAACATGAATATAATAGTAAATCACACATGGGCTAGATAGTATCTCAGGTAAAGAAAGTCGTAAATAGTCAAAACAAAATGGCTACACAGTAAAAAGGCGCAAAGATGTTGAACAAATAGCTTATCACCTAGTTAATGTGTTACGTAAAACGTCTGAAATAACAACCCCTTTCAAAGCACTCCATATGAGGTATAAACGCCACCATGAGTTACAGGTTTTTACAGTAGGTTTTAAGCTTCTTTTGAGCGTTACGTTAAAAATACACAAAAGTAAAAAGCTTTTATTCACATTACATTGTTTCAATACTGTACTGAACACATTATGAATTGTTTTAAAACCGAAACACTTCAAATGTGAGTATTAATAAAAATAAATAAATAATTAAAAGTGATACCATGACCACCGTATTCAATAAAGTTTCTTGTAGTACATGCAATGAGAAATATTGATGACATGTATCCAAAAGTAGAGGTGGTGTGACGGCATATGCCCAATTTAAGAAGAGATGTTAATACCAGAATCAACGATTCTCCAAAACATTTTCATCATTAAAAGAAAATAACATTGCCTCTTGTTATTTGTGCGCATATACTCCAGGGGTGGCGCCAGCGGGGGCGGAGTGAGTGGGTATAGCTAGCCCCCACTATCGGGGAGATAAAAACACAATTCGTCGTGGAGAAATGTTAACACTGTTAAATTATATATATAAATCATCAAAGAAAGGTAAATATATATACAAATATGTATATATATATATGAATATATATGTATATATGTGTATATATGTATATATATAGAGGCCTATATATGTATGTATTTTCTACATATTAGAACATTAAAAGCATTAAAACCCCCTAAATTGACATATTTTTTGTGGGATTTTAAGCGTCGCCCGACACGCCCACACCCCCCCCCCCCGGCGGGGACCTGGGACCCGTCCATCGGGCAAGTCCGGGCGCCATCCCTGATATACTCTTAAGCGGCATACGGATACAATGCAAACTACGTATTTATTATTGGTCAGCAAAACATTTGCATCACAATACGCCAGCAGATGACGGTGACTAGAGAATAATGTTGTGGAGATTATCACAACTGTTAGTGTTTTTGTCAGCAGTATATCAAACACCGGCACTCACTATAATGTTACCGTACTTTATATCTTCAGTGAATTTCACATAATTAAAAGATAATCCTGACAGTCGCATTTCTCTTTGGAAGAGAAGATTAGGCACTTGGCCAAACTGTTGGTAGCCACTGTGTGTGCGTTAAACCGTGGAGATCTTTTGGTCCCTGATTCAATCCCCATCACTGCTCCCCTCGTGATAGAGGGCTAAAATACAAGTTGCAATAGCGCACCGTATTTCGTATGTCACGTTTAGCTGTGTTGACATCGGATCCGAATTTGAGCCGTTGGTCTCGTGTGCAATATGGTCAGTGTTTACGTTAAAGAACGCAATGTAGGAAATTGTCTCTCGGTGCACTGCCAATCGCAACCAGAAGTACCAGATACTTGAAATACGTCTTCGGACTTCCGTGGGTTATCCTCGGTGTTTAACCTCGGTAATTTATCCAAATACATCCAACATGTGGAGCATTTATTTATACAAGTCATAGGACCAACCATCAAGTCACTAAGAATTTACATAATGTAGATATCGCCCTCCGTTGATACACGGAAATTAAAGGCAACATTTGATGTTTAGTTATTGTATATCAACATTACAAAATCTGTATCGCTTCACTGAAACGTCCAAGGTTTTTTGCAAAGTTTGATCATACTCAATAACACGTACTTACCGAAGTAAGTCAACAAACTATTCCGTTTTTTGAGTTTACTCATGCCTATCACAGTTTAGCAAGATAAATAAAGAGCAAATATAGTATCATAATGGTAGTAGTAGTATGAATCCTCATCCGTATCAGACATCAATATACACATATATATCACAAGTACTGATAATAAAAAATACCATATATAGAATTTGTCTGCAATGTCATAGTTTTGTCACACAAGACATTGTCGTTATGTTGTTTGTATCATCGCTCGGTACTTTGGTGTGATATTTTCTACTCTCTCCGTTAGTAAGTCGACTTGTATTGCAGCAGGGGCTGAGTGCACCCTGGAAACATTTTTTGAATGAAGCAGTAGTGAACGCATATATGAACGGATTTACACAGCTGTTTGAATAAGCCAGACACAGAGCAGACATTCGAATAATCTCAACAGTCAGATTTTGTCTAGGGTAACTTGTGCTAACTTTCTCCCATATAAGCAAACACTGAGTCGGTCCCCAGGAGAAAACAAATACCAAAACGACAATAAGAACCATTTTGGTAATTTTCTGCTTTTGTTTAATTGATCTTTTCCTTGCTTGGGCACTTTCTGTACCTGCGGTTGTCTTGCGCCAGACTAGAACCAGAATGTTCGCATAACAGGCAATAATTACTGCTAGAGGTATAATGTACAAGATAAATGTCATGAACAGGTAGTAAATTCGCTTCTTCTTCACCTCATTATCACTGAACGGCGGATGACATCCTTCATTTTCTGTTAACTCAGAAAGAATCGCCAGTGGTAGATGAAGAAGCAATGAGACTATATAAAAAAGAAAAAAAAGAAAAGGAATTTAAAAAAATTGTATTAGTAACAACATTAAAATATAACTATATTTAATTCGTTTAATGTATTCTTAACACGTGTCAAAATTGCTCTAGTTTGGACAAAGCTTATTTAAAATCAATTTTTTTAATGTATCCCCACAGAAGTGACAGTAATATTACCGGCATGTACCGTCACGGTTACACTTTCCTTCATCCCGTCTACAGTATCATAATAATCATTTCAAATATTTAGATGATCTGGTTCTAAGTTATAATAAAATAGCGCCAACATGCGAGCAAATCAATAACACTATTTCATATTAGATATTGTATTCGAAAATGCAAGAAAAATCCTGAAAATGGCAACATAATGATATTGATCTACACTTTACAGCTAATTAAGGTGGTTTAAAACCATCCATATCGACACAACATTCAGTCTCTGAGGTCTCTACAAACCAGTGGCCCAATGATGAATGTTTGTTATTAAAATTAATTAATAATTATTGTTAAAAAAGGGAATCAAAGGCTTGATTGGTTGAGGAGACTGAATAAATTTAAAGTTAGTAATATCACGATTAAACTATTCTATGAATCAGTTATTCAGTCTACTTTGGTTTTTATCTTGCATTGCCTGGTTTGCAAACATAACAGAGAAAAATAAGATTAGAATTAGGAGGGTCTGTAAAACAGCCTCTAAAATTATTGGTTCAGCAGTTAATGATGTGAATAACATTTATGAAAAACAAACATTGAGGAAATTAAATAAGGTTATGGAAAGTGGTTCTCGTCCATTACGCAATGAATTCACGAAGAATGACTCGGGCCGGCTTAGACCACCAAAATTCACGATTTAAATTTTCTTTTGTTCCAAATGCCATTCACATCTTTAACAATAATTTTAAGAGAGCGTTTTAATATAAAGACTTTTTAATGAATAATAAAATAATAATTATAATAATGTTAAGAATACATAACATTTTATTGGGCAAATTTAGTTAGGATTTCTGTTTGTTGTACAGTTTTGTCATCATCTTTTTAGTTGTTATTGTATATTCTTGATGTATTTTTTTGCTTGTGGTCTTGTTTTAAATTCATTCTTGATGTTTTTTGTCCTGCCAAGGAAAACAATTTTCATGAATTTTCTTTTTTTTTTTCAAACTCATGACGAATAAAGTGATCTATGTCTATGTCTATTACATTTCCGATGGGAATGTTATATGACAAAACCAACACACTGTAAAAACAGCCTTTGGTGTCACGTTTAAAATCTAAACGTGTATAGAATCATGACGTGATTTTTGAATAAATAATCAACGTTCACATTGTTCACAATAAATTTATTTTAGCTTACATTACAAACATTAAATAGGCCTACCTTATTTCTTCGAATAAATGCTTCGGGGTTGTTAAGAAGGGTTTTTGAGGGGCGTTTATTCGAGAGAGGTATTTGTTTGTTTGTTGTAAAGGGATACCGTAAAACCTCGAATAGAAGCCCAATGGGCTGAATCTCAAAGAAGCCCATCTCGAATTGAAGCCCCCTCCCCTCTTCAGTGTGCAAAAGTAGCCTCGAAAAGAAGCCCAGAACCTGCGTTTTAATACAGCATGGGCTTCTTTTAGATATAGTACAGTACATACACTGTACACGAATTTCAAAGAAACAAAATAAATTAAAAACACGCTTGGTTTACACTATAGTTTAGGTGATTATAGTGGCCCTATTTATTGTTTTAAGGTAGTAATTCCCAAAATGTACAGCATTCATTTTGAAAAGGAGCCCACTCTTTACTTTGCAAGAGTAGCCTTGAAAAGAAGCCCATCTCGAAAAGAAGCCCACCCTGAAAAGAAGCTCATTCAAAGTTCGCAAAAAATAGAAGCCAATGGCTTCAATTCGAGGTTTTACGGTAAGTATATTATACTCAAATGAACGCTCCTTATAAAAAGTTCACAGTGAAAGTGAATGTACAATACACTACCGTTAAAATGTTTTATTGCGTGATCATAAATTCGTATTGTTCCCAACAAGATTAGAGAAAATGAAATTCTACGGAAGTAGAAAATCAATAGAATATGTTGAAAATTATGTTGATTCCATTAGATTTGTTTACAGTTATTTAGAGGATGTTTATTCGAGGAAAAAAATAAAACTCATCGGGGCGTTTATTCGAGGAAGGCATTTATTACAAATGAGGCTCTATATGGGCGTTTATATTATATATCCATCTTTATTGATTATTTTGTATGAGTTCCTTTTATTAAAAAACATTATTTAATATATCGAGATTTGAAATGTCAATAATTAGGGCGTTCAGTAAAATGGATTAGTGAGATCCAACATATATGGACCTGCAATCTCGAAAGAGTTTAAAAAAAAAAACGATTTATATTAGCTGATTTGACGATGTAATGCCGAAAATGACACGTTTGATCGAGGGCGTATGATGCGAAATCAACGGAAATTCCTGGTATACTATGCGATCTCGGCCCATTGAATCATTTATCAAGAGATCTGTATGTCTAATAGAATTTTTGTTTCTTTCAGTTGTATTCCCAGAAAATAAGGGCAAAGTCACTGGTTGATTCTATTGTAGTTTTAAATCTTCTTGATCTTGATTGAGTACTATTCAAAAACCGAAAAAGGGATTTGGCTGTAAATTATTTTTTTTTGCTTGGTTGTAAAACATGATTATTCTGAAGATAAATTTTCATAGAACAATTCCAATTCCAATATGCTTTTGACGTGTTCTAATACATCATGTATG